GGGCTGGCGGAGAAAGTAGAAAGCCAGAACGTCGCATAGAAGTGAGGATGTATTTAGGAATCACTCATCACTGAGCTCCAAACTTTAGCTTCTCCAATTTCATCCAGCACAAGAGAGATGTGCTGAGTACTCCGTGTCAGACGCTGTGCAAGGCATGGGGGATTTCAGAACAGCAGAGACAAGCTTTCTCTTAGGGAAAAGCTCACTGTTTGGCTATGAGATGGATAAAATTAGCTAATCAGTAAAATAGTGGCAATAATAACCATCTCTATGTGACAGGTACAATGCTGTCCTCACGAAATCTAGCTCATTGCCTCTCTGGGCACACAACTAGACATCTCCCAGCATCCTCTGCAGTGCCCAGACGAGTGAGCTCTGGCTAACGGAAGGTGGGTAGGAGGATTGAATGTCACTTCCAGGACTGGCCTCTGAAACCTGTCTCACAGTCTTTCCTGTATTGTCTCTCCCTCGTTAGCCAGTTGGATGCAAAAACCCAGCAAAGGACTCAGAGGCCCTACAGGAATTGAAGCCACTAGATGAAGGGTCCTGGGTCCCTCAGAGACTACAAAGAGCAGAGCTCCCCAGCCCAACACACACACACACACACACACACACACACACACACCACACTGACTGTAATATGAACAAAAAATAACCGTCTGTGTTAACTCACTGAGATTTGAGGGTAGTTTGTCACAGAAGTTAATGCTACTGACCCTATCTAACACATACACGGATTTCATTAACAGATGGAATGAGGAAGTATATTTACGGAGCCTGGTTCTGTGCCTGACATACAGCAGGTACTAGAGACACAGAAGGCACTCAGTAACAGCACTCCATTTTGCAGGGCCAGAGCAAGAACTCCACCAGACAAGGAAGAGGGACGAACGAGCGCCACCACCCCGGGGCGCAACGCCACACAGCACCGCAGGCAGGTACAACAGTTCCCGCGGTGGGAGGTAAGGATGCTCTGGGGCAAGCAGATCAATTCCAGAAGGGCCTGCGTCCTGTCGGCAAGGAGGAACCAACAAAGCACTACTTTTTTTTTTTTAACACTTTATTGAGTTAAGATTCAAATACCACACAACTCATCCATTTAAACTGTATCATTCAATGTCTTCTTGTATACTCACGGAGTTTTGTATCCGTCACCACGTTCAGTTTGGGAGCCTTCTCGCTACCACAAAAAGAACCCCAGCCTCCCTAGCTGCCCTCCTCCTGGGTACGTGCCTAGAAGCAGTGAAGGGTTTTTAAAACAGGGGAGTGAAAAATTCGATTTCCATTTTTAAAAGATCACTCCCTGACCTACCACAGCCCAAGGTCAAGCTCATGACGGAAGTATGAGGACCCACCTGCATCCCAGGGCCCCTCTTCCCCAAGCCGCAGCCCCATGCGCGCACCCCGCCCACCCCCACGCAGGCTCCTGCCAAGGCAGGAAACCCCTGAGGAAGCTCAATGGAGCCGGCCTTGCTTCCGGCAAATTCACACCTTTTGGTTCTGCCTTCTGGTGGTTGGGCTCGGTTGAATTGTCCTCCAAGACTGTCCACCTCTTGGTCGGTTCCTTCCCTCTGAGAGTCAACTCCCTCCCCCTCCAAACGCTCCTTCCTTCCTCCCCTGCCCTGTCAAACGTCCAGCTCCCCCATCCCCAAAAGGGGCAGGGCAGTGTCACGCTTACAGAAGTCCCCGGAATTGTCGCAAACCCCATGGGCAGGGAAGATACACTGTCCTCGTCTTAGCAATGGGGAGACTGAGGCTCAAAGAGTTCATGCGCTGTCCCTAAGGCTATACAGCAGGTGAGTATCAGAGCCAAGCTGCCACCTGAAGCTCAGAGACGCAGGCAGCCGCTGGGACTACTCTCAGTGGCATGAACCAAACTGCCAAATATCATCCATCACAGTCAGAAGGGGATGGGTTTTCTCTCCTAACAAGAGGGCCAAGAGAGGAACTGGTACCGCACACCCTCAGCGACAGCCGAGTCCCAAGCTCCTTGTGTCTCCCAGTTTGCCATCCTTAGTCGGGGAATTTCAGTTTTGTGATCAAAATTCCTACTCCAGACCCTGTGCTTTTTCTTTTTTTTCATCAGAAAAGCAACAGCTCTCCCAGAAGCCCCATTCAGTAGGCTTCTTCTCCATTTCATTGGTTCATTAGGAATTTGTAACTTTCCTACTGCAAACAAAATTGGCATCTGTAACCAATGGAGAGGGGAGAATGGATGCCGGGCAGGGAAGCTGCAGTGCAGGCTCTGAGCGGATCCAGCCCCACCGGCCTCGTGCTCCATCTGGACAGCCTGAGGCACCTGCTTCCTGCACCTCCAACCCCGAAGAGGTGCAGGGCTGAACCACAAGGCAGAGCTTAGAGCTTCTGGAGGGAGGAAGCCTCTCTTGATCATCAGCATGATCTGCTGAGTGCATGCTCCCTTGGGCCAAGGGAGAGGCTGGTTGTTTCCTATGGTTCAGTCCCCACTTTGGGAAGAGGCAGAAAGCCCTGGGAATACACCGGCCCTCAACCTCCCAGCACTCACAGCTGCTGCGGGCCTTAATGGAAGAGGAGCTGACGTGCTCATTTCCAGGCCTGCCACAAAGCCCTTCTGCAGAAACTTCAGACCCTCAGGAATAAATTATGTATTAATCACCATCTCAAGATGAATGGAAAAGATCAGACACATGCAATTTCTGAGCAGCATTAACCTGGAAGTTGGAGGATGGAGGACAAGAGGAGACGCAGTGAGACAGGAAGAAAAGGAAGCTCTCAGGGGCACTGACTTTTCCAGATACATCTGTCTTGCCCTCTGGTCCCTCTGGCTGAACAGGCCCATGTGGCCGAGGAAGCTGGATCATGAGATCTTTTTGCAGAAGAAGAGAGCCTTCCCTGCAGGGCTGGATGCTGAGGCCTGGTTCCCTGGAGGTTATAACGAGCTGAATCACTCCTCCCACATCTCACACTTCTCAACGAGGCGTGATGTGACCCTCACCCCTCACCCCCATGCCTTCTCCCGGGGCCTCCCTGCTTTCTGAAGGTTAAACCTCTAAGAAGCCTTGCTAAACATTAAGTCATCTTGGGTTTTTAGCAAACACCCTTTAAAACTGAGACCCTGTGGGGGAAAATGTTCCATGGGAAGTACTACGTAATGGAAGGATCTTGGGGTGTAGGGGCCGCGGCCCTGGATTCCAGGCTCGCAACGAGCCTGCCTGGTCCCTGGGCAACCATCAGTCTTCTCATCCGTAAGATGAGGGCTGGAATCAGTGGGTACTAAAGAGCACTTCTGGCCCTCATTCTGTGACTCTAGGGATGGATAATATTGCATTCAAGTATGTGGTATTTCCTTTTTGTATGCATTTTCTCTGCAAATGTAAACTGATCACAGACATTCATGACAATAACATTTGATGGTTACCACGAGCTCTGGCAAAGCACTTTCACCTGGTAAGCCAACCCTCACAGCGGTCCTCTCGTGGCATAGGCAGATATTACTAACAGCTCCAATGTACTGATGAAGGAACCAGGCACAGGGAGATAAGTAATCAGCCTCTACATTTCCACTGGGATGCCTGAGACACATGTCCAATTTAATGCGCTGGAAGATGAGCTTCTGACTCCCCCACTCCACCTCACCCAAACCTGCTTCTCTCAATCTTCCCCTGCTCAGCAGATGGCAACTCCTTCCTTTCTAATATCCGAGGCCAAAAGGTTTCAAGTTTCTCCCACCTCCAATTCATCACAAATCACGTCAGCTTTGCCAGCAAAATGTATCTGGAATCCACTGTTTCTTACCACTCCCAGTGCGACTACCTAAGTCTAAGCCTTCACCGTGCGTTGTCTGGACCACTGCAGGAGGCTTCTTACTGGTTTCTACCCTTCTGTTCCCCATCACGTGCGCCACACGCACACACACACACACACACACACACAGTATTTTTTCCACACTGTAGCCAGAATGATCCTTTGCAAATGTAAGTGATATTTATTCCTCTGTTCAAAACTTTCAGGGGTTTCCCATCTCACTGAGCGTAAAATCCAAAGTCCTTACCCTGACCTCCAAGGCCCTCCAAGATCTCCCCCACCCCCAATCCCTCTCCTCTCTGGTCCCCCGCCCTTCCCCCAGCACACCAGGCATCCCCCTGGCGCCACCCTGGCCCGGCCGCCCTTCCCCCAGATATCTGAATGGCTTGCTTCAACACCTCACTTCAGTCTCTCCACTGAACCGTTTCTCTGAGAAATAAAATAGCACCTCTCTCATCTGTCTGTGTCCCCCTAGCCTGGGTTATTTGTCTCTTTAACCCGCATCTCCGCCTGATGTGGTTTACATTGTTTGTTTATTTTTTGTGTCCTTCTCCCCCTACCAAAGGTAAGGTCTGTAAGGACAAAGACTGTGTGTTCACTCACTGCTGAGCCCCCAGGGCTAAAAGAGTGCCTGGCATTTTAAACAGTCACTCGGTGTGATGGAGGTGTTAGCTAGCACAATGGTGGCAACCATTTTGCAATGTCTAAGGGTAGCAAATCAACATGTTATACACCTTAAGCTTATATAGGGTTATATGTCAGTCATATCTCAATAAAGCTGGAAAAAATAATGTCATTCAAAATATACAGGTGGCCCTTGTTATCTGAATCTAATCTTTATCTGAAACTCCACTGGGTGGGGGATGTGCGGACAGCAGAAGCCCATATTCTACGACATTAAAGGGAAAAATAATAAGGTGTTCCCTCCATCACATGTATTCCTTCATCGCCTATAAAACGACACACTGTGGATTTCTTCAGGATATAAGGCATTTAAAACACTAATTACCTAATTATTTGACTCTTAATAAACTCGTTAGTGAATACGCTTGTGTGCAGTATGCTACAATACTGGAAAAGAATTATATTTTCCTTCTACTTGGAAAGGAACTATACACTGTAATGTAAATAAACAATAAAACGATTTGTTAAAGATACATAATGAGGGCAAATATAACTACCAAAGTAAAATAAACAATTTTTAAATGCTTACTTACTCAATGCAGAGCTCCCCGGGTAAGAGGGGGAAGTCACTGTGTCGGCTGTACTGTGGGAAAAGAGAAGTCAGCATGAGCCGGGGAAGAAGTGAGTGCAATCACCAAACACCCAACGTGCATCTATTTCCTAGTCAAGGAATTAGGGGGCACTCTTCTCTTGCTGGCCTCCAGGAAGCTGGAAATGAATGGAAGACTGGATCATCGTCCAAAGTCTTAAATGAGGCAGTAAGATTTGAAAAAAAAAAAAAAACACTCAAATAGGCATCTGCTTTAACTATATAACTATATAATTCATAGTTATCTATACTGGAGACAATTTTGAAAATGAAAGACAGAAAAATACTTTTTAAGTACGCACTCATGGATTGACAGGTTGGTTTTATTATGATAGAAGACCTATAAAACAGTTCCAGTCAAAAATTGTTTTCAAAAATAAAATCGTATCTAAAAACAAAAAACAATCAGTATCCATGAAAGCTAAACATTTAAAGTTAGATTGAGCAGTCTAAACAGCTAAAAATAACATAAGCAGAATGGTATTCTTATTTCATAGACATTTACTGTAACCAGGCTGGAGTTACATCTTTACCTAATGCCAAGTAACAGGTATTTTTCTAAAGAATGTATTTTTAATATATATATCTCTATTTTTCATAAAATTGCCTGCAATCTTTTTCAAAATTGCATTTCATAGTTTATAGACTTAAAATTGTTGATACCATCAATTGATTCTTAATTGACCAAAAATTTTTTTTTTTCAGTAGAAGCAGATTTATTCAGAGAGATGTTCATGGGGGTGGTGGGGGCAGTGGTCAAAGTAAAGGTAGATACACTCTTCACAGACACAGTGCGGGCGGTCTTGGGAGGCAAGGGAGAGAATGACCATGATGACCACAGAATTTTTAATTAAGAAAATATTCTTTCTACGGGTGCTGAGATACTTGTAAATGAAGGAGTAATCCTGACAAACGGAAAATATCCTTAATTCTGATTTTTTTTCTTATTGAAATGTGTTATCACTTCAGTCCAAATTGTTTCACAGGTGCCATCCTTTTGTCATTCAGGGAAACTGTGGCAAATATTTTATGAGACAGAACTCATCAGGTAAGTTGTCTCTATTTATGATTTTTAAAAATGTTTTGCCAAATTTAGATGCTGCAAAATCACAGACCCTCACCATTTTACTCCATTCCAGTACAGGATATGAACTCATGCAGTTATATATAAAAGCTCCATCAAAATATTTTTTCCCATCAGTAAGATATTTCAATGTATAATTATTTACTCCCTAATTTAAATTATTTAATTTCTTCAAATCCTTCTTCAATTTTGTAGGTACGAATTCTGTTTTCAATAATTACATTTTCCTATAAGTTTCCAGAGCTGAACTCTTTTGGCTCACCGTTCCTTGAATACTTGATTAAAGACTACCAACTGATTTTACACAAAATGCAAACAAAATTTAGAGGACTCATTTGTTAAAAAAAAAAAATTTTAAGTAAAAAGTCAGTATGTATTGTATTACACTTGAGTTGATTTACAAAGTAGCACTTCAAAGGCTCAAACATTTCTAAAATCTAAGAACATGCAGAGAAGAAAAAAAAAGCACATACTGCCAGGCTGAGCACTTTTGAATTCAACATCATCTCTATCACAAATATTTTGTAGCTCAGTTTCTCTGTGTATAAATAAAAATATTTATAATGTCTGTCAACTATGGCTTCTATTTTGTTGGTAGACTATCACAGCTTGTTTGGATGCAGTTTTGAACTATGAATGCACTACATCTAATTCCAAATACATTGCTGCTCCACGATTTCCTAATTTAGTAATAACACTGTTTTGCCCAGGATGCTCTGTTCCACCCAAATCTGTATTTGTAGTACCACCACCATCTTCCTTGCTGAATTGTTTTTAGATGAAGTGATGAACTACAATAATATCAGATGTTATATATCTTTGACAGAATGAACTTTCAAAAGCTTTACTTTGAGTCCATGAATTGGATTGGAAAAAAAACCAAACCATTATTTAAATTAACTGGCTTTCTCTTGAAAAAGCTGACATAAATGGCATCATTTAACTGTTTGTGACATTCTTCTGCCAGTGGAGCCATACCACTAATAAATATCCCTTTACTTTTTTCATTCACACACACACAAAAAAAAGAAATCAAAATTAAGCAAAATTAACTTGGAAAACTCATCATGTTACCTAACTGAAAAGTCATACTTCCCAGAGTAACATAAAAAGGGGACTACACGTGTGAAACCGTCGTCACCAGACATATTTGTCTCAGAATAGTTATTACTAATTTTTAAAATAGATGGTGATGCTTTTTCATAAGAGTTTGTCCTCTGGGTTTACCTGCGGTCAGTGATATTACCACAGCCCCCAGAGCATACAGCAAAGGTTAACAAGCATTTGTGCGAGTTTCACATTCATCAGGATTCTTGAGCAAAGGATATTTAGTACTGAATTTTCTGTTAAACATGAACTTTTTTTTTTAAAGCTCAATGCTGCTAGGCTTTAAAAAATAAGAATAAAATAAGAAAAAGACAGTATTACCACAAGATAAAAATATATAGATTTACACAAAGCAATAGATGACAAGCCACTGAGGCAGTAACTGCAAGAGCATTCAGACCATTCTATCTACACTCCATGGTGGAGTCAACTCTGTTTCCAGCACACATTTCACATCCACCCAACCACACACATCTTACGCGTCCTTCTGACTGCAATGACTCTACGTCCTGGTGGCCCCAGGGTCTCGCCAGCGAGGCTTGTAGCCCAAGCTGCCAGCAGGGGCAGCAGCAGTTGAATGTGGTCACCCTTCTGCATCCACAGGTTTTACATCCAAAATTCAACTAACCACTGATCAAAAATATTCAGGAAAAAAAAAATCCAGAAACTTCCAAAAAGCAAAACTTGAATTTGCTGCACTCTGGTAAATATTTACATAGTATCTGCATTGAATTTGCAGTTACTTACATAGTATTTACATTGTACTAGGTAATCTAGAGATGATTTAAAGTATACAGGAGGATGTGTGTAGGTTATATGCAATCACTATCCCATTTTATGTAAAGAATTTGAGCATCTGCAGATTTTGGTATCTGGGGGTCCTGGAAACAATCCCCTGTAGATACCAAGGGTTGGCTGTGATTCCCCCAACCCTCACCAGTTAGACTAGAAGGAGTTAATAGTCCCTGGTCACTAGTGTCTGAGGGGATCAGGCTCTCCCTCAGATCCCTCCAGAAGGAAGCAATCTTGCCAGCAAGACACCTTGCCTGGCCTCCAGAACTGTGAGAGGTTAAATTTCTGTCCTTTGAAGCCACTGACTGTGTGGTACTTGTTACAGTAGCCCTAGCACACCACTACCTTTGCTCCTCTAAGTCCTCAGATCCAGGCTTCATTTGCATGTGGAGAACCACATCTCTCTGGCTTGGCAAACTGACCCTTGCCATTTTTAAAACTTCTGAGCTGTTCTGGAACTGACCTGACACAGGAACAATTCATACACCTTCTCTCGTGGCACATACCACGTTACTGTCCACTCATCCAAGAGGAGGCTGAAAGGATGTGATGTGGTGGTGAGGCTTACTTTTGATATGTCAAAGCCTATCAAGATAATAGCACAAAGCTATGGAGGCCGTCTTTAAATCCTGCAGCCCCATGGGGAGCCCACTTTCCATTAATACTTCAATAAAATGGCTTAGTCAGACATCCATGTATTTGTAAAATGTCCTGGGCTTACATTTTGCAGGTCATCTTTTAATCTAAATTCCCGTCTCCACTCTGGATGCTACCTTTCATTATTTCCTCAAAGCATACTTAATACCAAAGAGTAAAGTGAGGAAGAATTTACTGAAGGTTTGGGAAGAATGGAGAAAGTGTCTGCACAGCACAGAATAGGAAACAACTTGAAACGGAATCCTACACACCGTTCTTAAGAGGCCCTTGGACACCTTCTTGCTGTTCAGAAGGTCATGCCTGCCATCTTCCTCTCCTGGCTACTGGTCCACTCTCTTTCTAGTGCTCATCTTCCTCTGTGCTCCTTAGAGGCAATGCTTCTTAAGGACACACAGGCTTTTCAAGTAGCCTTCTGGGTCCAGATTCCACCTTTGATAGCTCCTCCTTGTGCGATCTTGTATGCATTTATGCATTTGTTTATTTATTATTATGAATTTATTGGAACCTTTATGTGCCTCAGTTTCTTCAGATGAAAAACAAGCATAATATTATTCACCCATAAAAGGAAATAAGTATTGATACAGGCTACATCATGGATGGACCTCAAAAGCATTATGCTATGTAAAAGAAGCCAGACCCGAAAGTTTACAGATTGTATGATTTCATGCATAAGAAATGCCCAAGTAGGTAAATCCACAGAAACAGGAAGGAGACTGGGAGCTGCCAGGGGCTGGAGGAGGGGAATGAGCAGTAACTGCTTACCAGGTATTATACATAGGTTGAGTTGTGTTCCCTCAAAAAGATATATTGAAGTCCTAACCCCAAGTACCTCAGAATATGACCTTATTTGGAAAGAGAGTTTTTATAGAAGTAATCAAGTTAAAGCAATGTTATTAGAGAGGGGCTAATCCCATATATGCCTGAGGTCCTCATAAAAAGGGGAAATTTGGACACAGAGACAGAGACGTCTCTGTGCCCAGCCAGAGAGATGCGATCCTCCACATGCAAATGAAAGGAAAGGCAACATGAAGACACACGGGAAGAATGCGTTTGAAGATGGAGACAAGGATTAGACTTGTGGAACTGGACGGAGGCAGCGGCTGCACAACACTGTGAGTGGACTGAGTGTCACTGAATTGTTCACTTTAAAATGCTTAATTTTATGGTATGTGAATTTCACCTCCACACACACACACACACAAGTACAGTAACACCTATCATGGGTGTGAACAGTCAATGAGTCAACACATAAGAAGCATTTAGAACAGTCCCTGAGACATAGTAATCACTCAGTAAAGGTTAGATAATATACTATTTTCAATAGTCTCTCTCCAAACTCCCCACCTCTTACCATCAAATAATGAGCAGCAGCTAATCCCCCAAACCTGTTTTCTCTTTACGCAGAGCATTTGTGCCCTCTCCTACCAGACCAAGCTGTGTGAGTACTGAGTCTGATCTGTCTTCTCTCTG